GAGCCGTTTACCACAACTCTTTGCATGCGGCAAAGTCAACAGTAGAATTATTGTTACATGCAAGTTGCATCTAGTTTCCAGAGAATTAAACTACACTGGAACCCCCTGCTTCCAAAATGTCCAGAACAAAGTAATGTCCAGAACTTTCAACTGAAAAAAAATTTGCAGTAGCATGGCAGTATTTGGCCATGAAGGATTTCTTATCTAAAATACATTATTAATCAGCACACTTTTCCTTTCCTGCAGCTAAAAATAGCCCTTATTTCTGCCTTCTCAATCCTATTAGATGTAATGGCTGTCTACATCCACTTAACAACCTTCCTACCATCCAAGTTAAAAGGGATCTATCTTCCAAAACATAGCTCCCTAGCAATTTCATTGTGTCTTCCACTTTCTGAATGTTTCAGTGCCCTTCAAAGACAGCCCTATATATTAAGAATGTGAACCCCATTTTACCTGGTTGTTTTTTCTGTGGCTCCTCCTCTTGCACAGGCTGGTAAGATGGCAGAGTTCCATTTATACTTTCAGTATGTTTTCCACTCCTGGATGAAAAAAACCACTCCACTATTGTTAGAGAAATAATACAGTTCTTTTCTTTGTATTAAAAAAAAAATGAATTCTATTGAACATGTATTATGTTTCATTGCCCTCAGTGATGTACCTGAAAGAAGGTGGTACCAGTTCAAGAGGCAGAGTCAGTGGCAGAGGTTGCCCAGCTTTGGCCATATCTGTTAGATGCATGGCTAACACAAACTCATCAGCTTTCAGCTGTCCATCTCCATCAATATCAGCTAGTGACCTGCACAGTTTTAACAACAATAATAATTAGAACCAAACATCACAATCATTCACAAATGACAGCTGAAACAATTTACTGTAAAAATTAGGTTTAAAATAGAAAATTCCTGTGAAATTTCCTGGTAAAAATAATTACAATTAATAACATGAATAGTTAATGAAGAGATATATTATTTTGTTTAATAATGTACTGTTATTCAGACATTTTCATAAAATACACCAAAAGATAGGAAAGGTTAAGAGACATGTCTTGATTTACTGCATCACCAAGAGAAGAACTGAGAAGAGAATTCAGCATCATTCTCGACCAGCTCAAAATGCTAGAAACCACTTTTCCATACTTTTTGAATTAAACCTTTGCATAGAATTCTTTTTTCCCCTTGTGCCTTCTCGACACTGCAGGGAAGATGTGAGCGTGCCCCAGAGTACCTTGCAATGGGTAGGAAAAAGATCACCTACCCTCTTTAAGGGGAGGGCAAACTATACAATCATATGGTTAGCCTACAAAATGCTTTCCACACAACTGGGGTGGTGTGTGTGGTGGGGATAAACCAGTGAAATGTTTCCAGAGACGCAGGCAAGAAAATGCGAACCTCTCTGAAAGAAGTATCCGTGTAGACACAACTGCAGGAATGTGTCCTTAAGTTTACACTTAGAAAAATTACTGCTAGTTAAAAAAAAAAGGGGGCAGTTAAAAAAAACCCAAACAACCAACCCTCCTAAAATCAAAAAGGAAACAACAAAACAAACAAAAACCCCACATCACACACCCCACACCCCCCCCACATCACAGTGAAAAACAAAAGCAGGAGATGATGAAATGGGATTTTTATGTTCACAGGCCAGCACTATTCACACATAACAATACCATTACAGTAATTACCATGAATACAGCACCCCAGTAGAAATATTGGTTATTTCTTACTTTGGGCAAAATTGAAATTTGGGCTGTTAATCCACTCTACAGGGGTACACAGACCTCCTCACATGAGTTACTGATATCTTCAGGCTAGGCACCCAGGAGGGAAACAGTCATTACACACCTGCTTCATTTCCTCATACTCCATAGTGAGTCAATCTGACATTCCATTTTACTTTCACAGCATACAATCAAACAAACTGAACAAATATAAGGAATAGTTTAGCTTGCTGCTGCTAGACACAAACAAATGACTGTCCTGAGATAAAGAGGAAGAAGAAAGGGAACTCGGAAAGAGGTGTAAAGCGTCAAGCTGTTGTGAATTCTGCTCAGCCAGTATATTTTATGTGTAACATTTGAGTTATGTCTGAAGGCATAATCCAGCAGAGCAGATTGTTCAAGCTTTTGGACAACTGTAACCACTTCCATCACCACAGTAAAGGCAAGTCTTAATGAACGTGTAATATGCAGATATCTTTATGAGAATTGCAGTAAAACTCTAAAAAGCTGAAAGGTAACTTCATTTTAAATCTTCCTCCATATTTTAAAACGAACAAGCTTGATTTCTGAATCCCACTTCTAAAATGAACAAACCTTCATCTCAGTTAAACTAGTACATCACTGAATCAAAAACTGGAATTTATGGAGTACATCACTGAATCAAAAACTGGAATTATATGGAGTTTAACAAACAAAAAGAATGAAAAAATAGATTAAGTCAAGGTATCTTTTGAAACAGAACTAAGTAAAAAACTAGTTTAAGTAGTACCTTAGCTTCAGTTTGTGATTTTAAATCTATGGTTTCCCTTTATAATTTCTTATTTAATAAAGTACATTTCCTCTCTTAACACCATAAACACACTGAATTCATAATCAGTAACTAAACTTACCAAATAGTAGCCAACTGAGTCTGTGAAAGGTTTGATTGCAGAAGGGCATTCCTTGCTTGAAATCCTTAGTGGAAATGTAAAAGATTCTAATAAAAATAAACACTTTGAACAAAGATTCACATGTAGCAAAAAATGGGTCATGAACTGGGGCATGTTTATTTTTAATATTAATCTAATCCACTTTCATCAGTGGCTGACAGCTGGCTTACTTCCAGGCTTAACAACAGGCTTTAGGACCTGAACACAATAAAGATGTAAATATTTGTGTGTAATTTTTTTCCACTGGAGCACCTAATAGAAAAGCTGACATGAAAAAATTGGTATTTATGGTAATCTCCACATGTGTTACAAAAGCACAGCCACCTGGCTACCTAATCTTGAGCCAGCACACTTGAAAGCTTTCCTTTGATAGTAAAGAACCATGTACCTTTCTGGACAGGTCAATGAAACCTTCAGCCCAAATCAACTGAATGAGAAAAAAAGCACCGAGACCCTTTCGTGGTAAGTGCTTATTTAAAATAGGAAATGTAGTCAGCTACAGACATACACACTGACTTCACACCTACTAACTTCTTGGCCAGTGCTCTACTCTGCATTGCAGTGAGTAATCCAGTTTTATGAGAACTTTTTAACAAAACTCTACTCTTGTATTAACTTTGTGTGAAGTCTTCCGAAATGACCATAATGCTGTGGCACAGCACAAACGGCACTGAAATTCAACAAGGATCGACTCCCTTAAATTACTTTTCAAAGTTCTAATGAATGACTGCAGTACCAGTGTCCTTCCCAAACTGCTTTCTTTGAAAAGATAGAGCCCAAATATTTAAGCAATTACTAATAAATATACATAGGAGCACATGGCACAAAAGATGATTGTGAGAAGTCCCCCATTTTATAACGTCCTAAGAAAGAGTCTCAGTCCAAAGAGTGATGTTTGGAAAATGACTGCTGACTTTATGGAGCTATCTTCCCCAGCCTGGTTCTCAGCTCTTTTAGTTAGACCCCACCATTACCACTCTTCTTCCCCTTGATGGCTGCTGTAGCTTCAGTCTACCTGGGGAGACTTCCGTCTTCTCAGACTCCCAGGTTTAACACAGAGTCCAAGCCAGTAAACTGATGGTTATTTTCATTTCTTGGGAGACTGGAACCAGCAGCTGAAACCCACTTTCTCCTGCATAGGTCTGAGTATCAACAATTTCCGCTTTTTATTTCATATGCAAGTCAAACCCCAAGTCAGGATTCCATCCCTCAGCCTGTGACATTCCAGAGGCAGAAAACACTGCTGGTTTTCCCACTCCATATCAAATGCTATACTCACCTGATAAATATCCACTCATACTTTTATCAAGACTGTTAAATTTCTGTCTGTATTTTAATCTGGAGGCCTGAGGGACCGCCCAGTCCGAGGATACAATCTTTGGTGAATTCCCAGTTAGTGAAGCACTAGAGGAAGAATTTGAACTGTAACAGAATTTAAGAAAAGGAAAGAAAAAGAGATAAAGAAAGAATTCTAAGTTATTTGGCTTAATAAACAGGCACTGGAACAGAAGACTTATAGTATATTTTGGTAACATGAAACAACTTCCACAAAGTTTTACCTCTGCTAATGTGCTATACATATTTTCAACACTGCTATGGAATTTCACTGTGAAAATAGGGGCACATGTCTAAAAGAAAACTCTTGAAGTCAAGATCCTGTTCCCTTGGTACCACAGGCACTAGTGTCACATAATTCATCAGTCCACCACTGCTAAATAATACTATAGAAAACCACAGGAAAACATCTCAAATTTCATAAGAACAAACATTTACAAGAGCAGTGAAGCATGGGGCAGATGTCAAAGTAATTTTAAGATGTATGCAAATGAATAACCATAATCATAAAAAGTTATCTGATATACTCACACCCAAAAGCAGCTTCTAATGCTGTTAAAGTCATTATATTCCATCTCTGCCTCTTCTTTCTATTAGCGACAATGACAGGCTGAATGGAATTTTTCCAACTCACTCAATTTCTGCAGAATAGTGCTGATGTTGTATGTTTAAATACACCTATAAACCTTCTACCTGTAAGTCCCAGCATTTTCATAGTGTCCCATCTTTGAAGATCAGACAAAAGCAGGTGCATCCAGCCTGCCTTATCTAAGGCAACCCCCTATTCTGTCAAGTAAAAACCTATTTGCAGTGTTATTCAAGGCAATAAAGAATGTTGCTAGAACCAAAGCCTTTCCAGCTGATGCTGGCTAAGCATCCTTTCAGTGGCATTACATAACATGATGGTGAAAATGCTGTCAATATTAACACTGAAGGAGAGCTAATTTGTAGCACTACAACACCAGCAAAGAAAAGCTTTTGTTAAAAAAAAACAAACCAAAGCAAAGCAAAACCCAGAGATGATTACAGGCACACACCATGCCTACAACCATCTCATTGAACATTTGCTAACATCAAGTGTCTGCCTGTATGACGAGCCCAAAGAAAGACGTGTGTTCACCCCAGATGCCTTGTATCAGCAGAAAAAAAGTGCACCTTTTCCGGGTCCCCTTCCAGAAAAGAGCTGGGCTCAGATGTCCCCTGTACTGTCTTTTGGGATACTGTTCCCTTGATGCCAAATGGGCGAGGTAGGCCTATTCCCTCACTTTATGGCAAAGCTCCAAAATCAGTGAAGCAGAGCAGCTGAATACAAAGCCTCGTAATCTTGTATTATTCATAAAACAAATTAATGCATAAATATTTATAACAAATACTGTTCATACATGCCTGCTCATTACACGGTGCCCTCTATAATGAATGAGTACATCAATCCATAAACATTGCTTTTATATCCACTTGGTAAGTTTTACTTCTATTTACTAATGAGCTACCTTCCCTTCTATTTGGCACTGCTTTCTCCCATTTGAACTCCTCTCCTACTTCTGACAGATTTGCCAGACTACTGAAAATACTATTGTGCATATCAAAACAATCTATTTTCAACCCTGACAGGTCATATTAAATAGACTAATTTTTAATATACTTTGAAAATAGAAATCTTCCACAAGTTTTGTAAGGTATACTACTCACGAGATAACCATTTTTAACTTAACTTTCATACCTGCTAGATCCTAAATCGATTAGTGACTGTGCCTTCTGTATACTAGTGCCACCAAACCCTCCTGCCATGGGACCTAAAGAACCAGTATGAGGCAGTGCTGAAACAAACAAACAACAAAAAAAAAACCTAAAACAAAAACTGTAAGACAACCTTGTATAAGGTAATGTTTTGTAACAAACACTCAAGGTTTTAACAGAAGTAACAAAAGCTGATCAGCACCTTGTTAACTAGTTAGAAACGATTTCACAAATGTGAACTTTGGAAAAAACACATTTTTTTAATTACTTTTTTTTAAACTCACATTCAAATATTAGCATTCCTGTCTGGAATTAGCCATAGAGAAAGTAAGACTCACAATTCTGAAAACAAGTACTGTACTTTACTATACTTACTTAAAGAGAAAGGTGTGGACAAAGGCTGTAGAAGGCTAGATGTTCCATTTGGCAGCGAGGACATACTGACAGAAGGCACCAGGGGAGTGGACATAACCAAAGGAGGAATGGAAGTCATGGAGGTTAGAGACATGTTAGCTAACGGTGTGATCGAAGACACAGACGTTGGCATGGACAGATTTGGCATACTACCCATTCCTAGAGAAAAAGACAACAATTCATGATTTAATATTGCAGAGGCTCCAGCAAGAAATGGGGTCCATGGTGCTATGCAGAAACTCCACAAAGCAGCCTGCTTCTGGAGACACAGTGTTAAAATAGGTAATTCGTCTGTATTTACTTTTTCTCTAATGTTTAGACAAGACAGCTCACAGAGGAAAATATACTGAAGAAAATGAATTTAAAAAAACCCAACCCTTATGAGCAATTCATTCTCAAGGTAGACTTATCTAGTATTTCACGGAAGAATAAGGTCTAGTTTTCTGTAATTGCAACTAACTAGTTCTTCAACGAGTCTTTCCATGTCTGGCCCCTAAGAGAAAATTACAACAAACTCAAAAGTTGTGACAATCCTCTACAGGGAAAAGCTGATAATGTTTCTGAACTAAGTCTCTTTCAAGCATTGGCCTTGGAAGAATCCACACTCGTGTAAAGTCCCTACTTAGGGACCCACGCAAATGGTTTCTTTAAGGCAGCTGCCTTAAGTGATTAAGGGCATTTGAATTACTGGATGAGCCTTGTGGAAGACAACCCTTGTATGCAGATGAAATGACAGAAGGTTAATACGAATTAATCATATGCCAACCACAGCCGTCTATAAATGCATGCACTTGTGTGCAAACACATGAGATTTAGCAATGGGCAGATATTTAAAGTTGTGTGTGTAATTAATATATGCATACATTTCGTTTCAGCATAGAAGTATGCACTAATTTTGGAATACAGCTCAAGTCATTACATACATTTTGTTCTACAAAACAACAAAATACCAACAGGCATGCGCTGAATCTGAAAACTTCATCAGAAAGGGGAAACAAATTGATCATATAACCAAAACAAACAATCTGATTAATTCTGAAAAACAGATTTAAAGTAAGCGTTCCACCAAAACTTTGACCTTTACTGAGTTTAAGTTTAAAAACCTCAAGTATAGATATATAGATGAGTAGGAGGGAGACAAAAAAAGACTACCAGTACAAGATAAGAGCCTGCAAGTGGGATGGCAGATGTGAATGGCCTTCTTGCACCCCATGTCAAAAATTCAATAGAAGATTTATCACTAAATCTCTTCAAAGAATGAAATTATCAAAAATGTCAAGAAAGTAACTTTGTGAATTTCCTGAATCAGAACATCCTTAGGTTTTTTTTACTGATTCACTCAACTGTCATGGTCAGATTAACACTTGTATTTGGCTGCAATTAACTGTGGATTTTTACCTCTGAACACTAACTAATTATATATTCATAAGTACCGAAGCGAGCTGACATTAGCGGCGAAAATACTGGAGTTTGTTTCATGACAGGAGGGAGAACTGCAGGCAAGTGCTGTCCTTGCAATTTCAGCTTGATGAGTTTCATGGCTATAGAGAACTCCTGTTGATCCATTTTTCCATCCTTGTTCAGGTCTGCTAGTGTCCTTAAAACCAAAATAAAATACAATTAGAAAATCCAACAAGGAAAAAAATGCAAACTTAACTTCTTCACTTAAGAAGCTTTTCTATCAGATTTATTTACTGGTTTTGTACAAGAAAACAAGAAACTTATTGCAACCACTTTGAGATTTTCTACTTTTGATAACATTCAAACCCTCAGAAGTTTGACTACCCACTTGTTCACCTACTGCAGTGTTCAGTTTTGAAGTTGCTGTGTATTAAGAACTTGAGAACGGAGGAAGACACTTGGAGAAGCAGTAGTCCTCTGCTCAGTAGATACACTTGTTGCCTCTGCTGGACTATTTTCTGTGCTACTAGCCAAACTATTTTAATTTATGTCTGGTAATGTAAGGAAGAAATGTAAGTATCTGAAACAGGAGGATGCAGAAACCTGCTAAAGGCACTATATACCACTATGAAAACTCCAATTAATTCACAAAGCTTGAGAGTTTTTTAAGTCTGATATCCACAGTGCCTTCCTCTGACACTTTTCCAAATAACCTTAATTACAGCAGAAAATATATGCAACAGTGCATACATAAAAAGACTGAATTTCTGGTCAGACAGAAAATATGAAATCTTAGTAGACGTGAGGACTGGGCATAGCAGTGTAAATAAAATTGGGGGGGGGAAATCAGACTTAGAATGAAGCTACATTCAGTCTATCATTCTCTTACTATCCATTATAAAACCTCAAGACTCTATGCAAAAAACTCTTTTACCACTCTTTTCTAGGCAATTAAAGAGTCTGAAGAAGAAACTAACTTAGCATTGAGATAGTTTCATTAATACTCTTTCACAACTCCCACACAACGAGTTATTCTTAATTATTATGAGCCTCCACTGTGTGTCTTTTAGGACATATACGTCTTGAAAACAACCAAGTACCCCAAAATGGAAGGCTGAGAAGTGTTGCAATCACCACATATATGCTGCAAAGAACAGGTGTTGTTCTAGTTCCTGTGTTACAGCATTGGCTGCTATCATAAAATGGTTTGAGTTGGAAGGGACCTTAAAGCTCATCCAGTTCCAACCCCCTGCCACAGGCTGGGACACCTTCCACTAGAGCAGGTTGCTCCAAGCCCCGTCCAGCCTGACCTTGAACACTGCCAGGGATTGGTCAGCCACAGCTTCTCTGGGCACCCTGTGCCAGGGCTTCAGCACCCTCACAGGGAAGAACTTCTGCCTAATATCTAACCTAAATCTACCCCCTTTCAGTTTAAAGCCATTACCCCTTGTCCTAGCACCACTTGCTCTTATATATACTTATAAAAAATATAACGACAGGGCTTAACCTTTGTGGCAGTCCAACAGGCACTTCCCTCTATGAAAATCTTGCAAATTATCATCGTTTTTTGTTTCAAGCACTTACTATAGTTTAAAAAGCCTGTCTTCAATATGATCCAATTTGGATTAATGTCATAAGATATATTTAAAAAGACACTGCTTTTTAGTTGAAATAATGATTCAGACAACACTCCTACTTTGACTGCTGAAAGCCTCTTTGAGACAACACACCAGATAGTATTTGAATGCTACATGTCTCCCTCGGAAAAAAGAATACCTTACCATATTTCAGCAAGGATTGAAGCTGGTAGACCCGACTGCATAAAAAAGTTACGTGCTTGATCACCTATGATAAACAGGAAAGACAGACAGACTTTTACACTAGAGACACAGATTTTCAGCAGACCTCTGTGCTCCCTTGTGGGATCAAAGTTTCAAAAAGGAACCGGCATGCTAAGTACCAAGCTTTCCAGTTTCATACCACCTAACCCCTTCCTTAGTGATAGCTATTGTCAGCTACTCATGTGTTCTGCAATCCTGAATCTTTACTCTGAGAAGTCATTTTAAATAGTTATAAAAAGCTTTAACAGGTCACATGATCAACAGCTGCCAAGAGTTTAAAAGATGCAAGATTTAAAGAAGTAAAAATGCCTGAAAATTTAGTCCTGACCCAATTACTTCGAGAGGAAACAGCAAGCATGCTATTTCTTGCCTTCTCCTTTATCCAATCTAACTTGAGCAAGTATTGCCTCTCTAGAAAATCTGGGAAAATATCACATTCTGAATTCTCTGTTCCATCGGAGAACATCCACTATTTCAGTATTTCAGGAAGGGAATGGGAACTATTGTGCAATCCCATATCAAGTTCCAAATCAAATGGCACTGATCGTGTCGTAAACAAACATGTAGTAAAACATGGATAATGCTTTTTATGCCTACCTATGAGTGAATTACAGATGCCTCAAGCTAAGACTTCAGGTTATTTTTTCACCTCTTTCTTCCCTTATATTCATACGCTTTCATTTCAAGCAGTTGCCGAATAAATAATGAAGCCTGCAGACATATGTGCAGGTAAGAGCTAGATGTGGCCTACGGGTAGTCCCTGGGACTAAATACTTTTCAGCTAGTGGTAAACACAAGCTCCCAGTGCTCTGTGGCCAGAGCAGGAGTTACGTATCACTTAGCCAGAAGATGTGCATGTTCCAAACAGACAAGTTCCCACTTTCTCCTCAGTCCTTTTTGGCACAAAAAGAAGAAAAGCAGAGGCAGTGGAGTCACCAGATAGGGCATCAGCAGATAGGCAGGCAGGTAGGAACAATTAAGGGTAGTATTCAGTGCCCACGTGCACAATTGATTTAAGAATGGAGCATTCTTAAGTCATCTTCGCCAGCGAGCTTGAGTCTTTTCTTGATATCACAAGCAGATTCTTATATTTAAAAACTGGAAATTCTGAGGTGCACAGCAACATGACCCAATTGTTTCAGAAGAGAAGCAGCTGAATGCAACTGGAACTGACAGCAGGCCACTGCAAAATGCCATTAGCCTATCCAGAACCCACTGAAGGCCCAAGGGTTAATAAATTTCAAGCAGTCATTAACAAGGACAAGCTGTCAGCATCTCTCTCCCTGCCTCTTCCTCCAAAACAAAGATATCTAACAGTACAGTATTCTCTAACACTGTTCAAACAGAGGAGAGCCACTTCTGGTGTCTGTGGCGTCACTTGCCACAATAGCTGCTGTAAGTGCTCCTTGGCAGACTCCCATCTAAGTACTCTTTCATTTTGAAACGGGACATAACTGAAGCTAGCACATAACTGCCAGCTGCAGAAGTGAAAGGGTTAATAAAAGAGTGTTCCTGTGCCAGACTTTAGCCAAAAGTTTGTACAAGTTTAATAATAACCCGTGGCTATTTGCCCAAAGAATATGGTTATTCGTCACACAACAAAGGGCTAGAAATAGGATGTAGTTTGCAAACTGTTTTACAAAGATACTTATGTGTACACAGAAGTTAATGTGTAGTCCAGAATCTCAGACAAACCTGTAATGTAGCCTCCTGTGGGTTTAAGGCTATCAAACTGCTTGTCATGCTTGGCCCGCTCTTCAGAGGTGATGGCCCATATGTTTGGACCTCCTAAGAAACAAAAATCAAAAACAAAACACCGAACAATCAAACCGACTGAAAAAGTTTAAAAATCAAGCACGTCACTTGCAAAATAGAACCTTGGTTTCTCAAGAGACAAAGCTAGATCTAGACACACCCAGCTCCTACCAGTTTGGCAAGGATGTTATGAAACACAAAGCTGCTTCCCAGATCCTGCTTCCCAGATGTGCAAGTGCTAGCTGAAACAATTCCTCAGCTAGATCTCTTTACAGTCAGCTTTCAAACACGCTCTGTTGTCCTTCAAACCTGGTGCAATGCAGTTTCCTGTTGCTGCTGACTGTTTGCAGCCTGGGCAGGATGAATGTTGCTCACCATACCCTGTGTGAACCAAATACTCTTCTGGTTCACCGATGAGCAAATGGCATTCAATATCGCTTAAAGGTTCTCATACAGAGGGCTAACACCCTACAGCTGCCAGAAAGACGCATGCTTCATCTTATCAGTACTTTAAAACCAAAATTGGGACTGCTACAAAAATATGTTGGTTTGTCTAACAAAGGAATAATAATATTCTGAGTTTTTAAAAAGCATGTAATTTCCACTTATTATTTTTCAATGCCTAAAAAAAAGTATTAAATACTACAGCCTCAGAGTAACAAAGGGAAACTGCAGGGAATAATCATGTTTACAGAACTGTGCTGATATACCTGACAGAACAAAAGTGACTTTCAGAAATGCTCCAACCTGCTGGATGAAAGTCAGGGCATGCGTCCTTTACCAGAAAAGCAGTCTGCCAGAATAATTGGGTTTGCTTTTTAAGCAGGAGGAAGTTTAGTGGGGAAGTTCTTGACAAGTGCCTAATTTCTTCAAAAGATTGGCAAAAATTGGCCAAAATTCTGAATGGAAACCCTCAAAACACCATTAAAAGTTTACTACTTAAAACCCCCACCTTTTAGAATACATTCTATTAAGCATTACCACTTCCAAAGAACTGTTAATCTGTTCTTCAAGCATGTGTATTGTTCACTAAAAGACAACTGGTGGCCTTCTACGATGGGGCTACAGAACTGATGGATGGGGCAGAGCAATTGACGTCATCAACCTGGACTCCTGCAAAGTATTCAACACTGTCCTGCTATCCTGGGTTCAGCTACAGCAGTCATTTTTTCTCCTTCCTAGTAGCTGGTGCAGTGCTGTGGTTTTGACTTTCAGTCTGGGAACAATGCTGATAACACCGATGGTTTTAGTTGTTGCTCAGTAATGTTTACTCTGACCAAGGACTTTCTCAGTCTCATGCTCTGCCAGGGAGGAGGGGAAGCCAGGAGGAAGCAGAGACAGGACACCTGACCCAAACTGGCCAAAGGGGTATTCCATACCACAGCACGTCATGCCCAGTATAGAAACTGGGGGGAGTTGGGTGGGGTATCAGTCGGCGGGTGGTGAGCGGTTGTGTCCTCTCCCCTTGTTATTCCTCTTATCATTATTACTGGTAGCAGTAGTGATTTGTATTATACCTTAGTTACTGGAGAGCTGTTATCTCAACTCGTGGGAGTTACATTCCTCCGATTCTCCTCCCCATCCCTCCGGGAGCGGGGGGAGGAAGAAGTGGTGGGAGTGAGCGAGCGGCTGCGTGGTTCTGAGTTAACCGGCTGGGTTTAAACCACGACACCTGCACGACATCCTTGCCTCTAAATTGGACAGACGTTAATTTGAGAGATGGACCGCTCAGTGCATAAAGAACTGGCTGGATGTCCGTATGCAAAGAGTTGTGGT